GTGCGCACGGTTTAACTACACGGACCCTCGATCTACGCACTTACACCCGCGCGAACCGCTGAGTATAGTCGCCCAACGGTAACAGTCGATTTGCCTCTAGCTCTTGTGAACTTTAGCTCTTGCGACGACAAGCTCTTGTGAACTCTAGCTCTTGCGACGCCTAGCTCTTGTGGATCCTAGCTGTTGTGGCTCTAGCTCTTGTGAATCCTAGCTCTTGTGAAGGCCGTCGGTCAAAATGTGCAGCAACAAGGCACCGGCACAGTGCGGCTAAAGTGGTTCAATTGTAGGGGTGGAGGTAGGTGGGGTGGGTATGAGAGGGAAGTCCTCCACCCGCGAAGGGAGGGACGCAAGGGACTAGCGCTCCTCGCGGCCACAACTTGCATCTGTCATCCCCATTGTTGAGGCCGGTTGCCCGGCTTAGTTTAGTCTGTTTGGTGCAGTGGAGCAGTTGTGTTGAAAATGGCAGAAATGGCAGACCTCGCCGAACTGCCGCCAAACCGTGCAAAATTTGAGGAACGACTTCTGGCGATAACCACCAAGAAAGCAGGCAATGCGAAGTACCTCAGCGAGGAGAAATATCTAGAGGTAATCAAAGAAGTGAAGGGGGCATTGGAGAAAGAAGGGAAGGGGCTGATCAAGAAGGAGCGCGACCGCCTCAAGAAGTACGCCGCGAAAACGATGGGAGCAGAGGAGTACCTGGTGAAACACGGAGACCACAAGAATTATTTCGTGAATAATGAGCGGATGTACGACGCCCTCCTCGAAGTACACTTGCAAGTAAGTCATGGTGGCAAAAACCGCATGTTGCCAATTATTAGGAAGAAGTACAGCAACGTATCCCAAGAGGCCACCTTCCTCTTCCTGTCCCTTTGCGGCATTTACCTAGCCAAGAAAAAACCTAAGAAGAGGGGCATTGTCGTGAAACCTCTGGTGTTCGAAGAAATGAACCAAAGATGCCAAGTAGATTAAGTCGACATGCAGAGCCACACCGACGGCGAGTACAAGTTTATCTTCGTTTACCAAGAGCACGTGACTAAATTCGTGTTACTGCGTCCGATGAAGAGGAAGACTGCAGAAGAGGTAGCCGACAACCTACTGGACGCTTTAAGCATCTTCGATGCGCCGTCGATGCTGCAGTCGGACAATGGGAGCGAATTCGGCAATCTGATTATAGAAATGACGGTATGTAATCTCCTACTCGACCTTATTCGTGACCTTAACTGTCTGTCTTAACATTTTTAGGCCAAGTGGGATGAGGTCAAAATCGTCTACGGCAAACCACGGCACAGCCAGTCCCAGGGCTCCGTCGACGGGCCAACCAGGACGTGCAGGATATGCTTACGGCCTGGATGATGCAGCACCGGTCCAGGACGTGGGCCGAGGGACTTCGCTTCGTACGGTGACGTGACGAAGTTTTCAGGTTCGTTAATAAGATATCGTGTTAGTATTTCAAAATTATGAACATGAACTTCTATTTTCATAGATAAACACTAAATAGCATTCTTAAAGTAGTTAGGCTGTATTCGGGGCCACTGAGCTACAGGGTTCAAAGTATATTCAAATTATTCCTTGTGAAATGAACTACGCGTTAAGCTCTATAAAATTACACTTCCATAATGTCATTTACGAATTAAAATTAATCTAAAATTGACCGTTTTTATATGGGCTCTTATGGGAGATGCATGGTTTATTTGACCGTAAACGCAAATGCGCCGGTCAAATAATCGGAGATGGCATTCATTAGACGCAGAATTTTATTCTGCGTCGATCTTTGCAAAGAAAAGTGGATGTTTATGATGTAATAAGAAAGATATTAACGAAAAACTGCCCAAAACTAGCAAGATGGCCGCCGGTCTGTAGTCGTCTGCTTGGACGGCAGGAAAAGCGGCAATTCAAATCACGATACCCTTTTCTGTAAATTGCTTAAATTACTGATTCTTTTGGGGTTATTATACTTAGGATATAGTTTTTAGTCCCGTTTAGAACTGTGAGATACTCAAAATCTGTTTTAACATTCATTATTTGCATTTTAATGACAAGTTGGATCTTGTCACGCGTCCAGCCTCGGAGCGCCTGCCAGTTAGGCCACCATTTCTCCTTCCATGCTCCCCGGCGCGACGTGTGGCCTACCCGCCCCTGTCGGCGTCCGGGAGGAAATCGGCTTCGCCGTCGAGGCGAGCCGAACCCGCTCGAGCCGGCGAGGTGGCAGGTGTTTCGTGGGTCAAGTGTCAGACGGTTTGAGGTGGTCGCCGATGCCAGTTCGAGGAAGAAGTTTCTGTCTGTCTGTCTGTGCTCTTTCACCATGTGCTTGGCGATGTGCTCGTCCACGCCGCTCTACAGCCCTGCGGGTGCGTCAAGATTCCAACAGTAAAAAGGTCAACTTATCTCTGGCAACTATTTCAACACTATTTATCTCCTTCCATAGGGCTTTTTGGACTGGGTGACCAGCTACCAACCATGGGCTGGACTCCTCTAGAAGGCCGCCCCATGCCTCGATGCCATGCCCTTGACCTTTTCGACCTCTGACCACCTGCTGACCAGGTCCACCATGGACTCCACCACCAAGAACATGTACTCCACGAGTAACCCCTTTTGGTTCCCTCCTCAGCGTTTACCACCATGAGCACCGCTATATCTTGCATTTTTTTTTTAATCAGCAGAAAATGACGGCTTGATGTATAATTGGATTCACTGTGACCTGACCTTTAAACTGACCTCTGTACATGTATGACTTTTTGTCCCTTTTGTTCCCATGTGTTTGGGTAATTAAAAAGGTTCTGATGTTTGTTCATCTTTGAGTTATATTAAGAGGGTATGTGCTGTTCCACCTTTGTCTGTGGTTTGTCACCCTTAAAATTATGGTCGTGTGTGAGTGTTTTGTCCTCCGAACTGCTGTTGTACCTGAGTGCATTTGTTGTCGAACTCCAAGTTGCTTATTAATTTTGTAGAGCGTTTCGTTACTTCATCTAGGTAAAATAATATAACTGTTGAGGTCAGATTTTGTCACGGTTCCAGTCGAAGAATTTTATCTGATGATCCTGTGTTTTCTTGATTGTCTTACTAATTAGTAGTGCTGTTGCTTTTGTAATTGTATTTCTCTTTAAGCATTCTGCTGTGAGCATGTGACTCAATCATGTATTGAAATTGTCTATATGATTGGTATTTTTGTATGTATTGTACTGGGTTGTTTTTGTACCTAGTATTTTGTATATTGTCTTTTGTATTTTGTATTATCTATTGTGAATTGTGTTTTTGATATAATTAAGTAGGTCATTTGTATTGTGGGTTCGTGCACCACGTTGGTTTGCAAATTGTGTATCTTTGTGCGCATGTGCTAGTGTTTTC